TATTTTTTGTATATAACTGCTAGCTATTATATGGTTATGTCTTTTGTTATTATTAGTTTGGTGAACCATTGCAATTATTGAGTTTATGGTTATTTTACTTAACATTGCAATTCTAGAGATTATGGTCATTTTATCCACCATTGCAACTCTTTTTTTATAGTTATTTACTAAACATTACAACTCTTGAAATTAAGGTTAATTTACAAACCAGTGCACCTCTTGAGTTAATGGTTATTAAACCATTGTAACTGTTCAAAATATAAACAATTTATTTTTCAAGATTGAAGCATTGTATGTTTTCAAAAATAAAGACACAATTACTTATTGAATGGACACAACTTTTCATTAAAAAGATACAACTTTCTACTAAATTAAATATATATATATATATATAACAATAAGACAGATTTTTGTTTTTATTTTTATTTAGAGATGGATAAACATTTTATTTATCAAGCATACATTTCACCTGCTAAACAACATAAAGTAGAAGTATCTGCTATAGTTACAAGTTTTTCTATTACTATTGGCATAAGATCTATGAGTTCACTATTTTTAAACAAAGAAGATATTATTTATTCAATAATATGATCAAATTTATTTATGTATTGTTTTTCATTTTTTAAAATTTACTCATGCAGAATATTTTTAAAACTTGGCTGATACTGTTTGAATTGTTATTGTGTTTTCCTCCATTTAAGGGTTTAAAAGTTTAATATTAAATTGATATAATATATTTTTTAAAAAAATTTGCTTGCAGGAAACATAAAAAATCAATGAATACTGGAAATTCAATAGAAATAGAAAGTTTCGCTTAACAACAATTTTTGGTTAATAGTATGTCAATTAAATTTAATATTTTTAAAATATACTTTTGGAAAGTTAATTTATATATATTAGTTAAGAATTTATTTTTGAATAGATGGTGATTTTCAACCAATATCAAACGCTATTATCCCCAAAAAAGTTGGAATAGTAAGTATTTCTATTGGTAGTCATAATATTATAACTACTTTTTTTAATATTAGAACTAATAATGTTAACCATTTAAATGAAAATGATGAAGATCACGAAAAAAAAACCAAATAATAATGTAATGCAGTGTCCCGATTGTAATGGTTGGGTTTGGTTATTAGAAAGTATTGAAAGAGATGTAGCTCGTAAACGACCATTGTTCTTAATTTGTTGCAAACAAGGTTGTGTTTTACTCTCTACTGCTCGTGAGCCTCTACCGTTATTAATTAAGTTTTTAAGTGAACATTTGTTTCTCTGATATATGAGAGTATATAATTATATCATAGCTTTTACTTCTATGGATGCAGAAATTGATTATTTTATTCAAAACACATATGGGATATATTGTTTCAAAGTACATGATAAAACTAATTATCTTATTGAGTCTGTACCACTATGTGACGGTGAGTTACCAAAGTTCTCTCAAATTTATACTTTTGATACAGCTAACGAATTAAAAAAATGCCTAATATCACACAATTAAAAATTTGTTAAGCCAATATAATATGTCTAATGCTATATGATGTTATAAATTCAAGATAATTTTAGGTTTCTGAAAGATAATGTTCACTTAAAAATGTATCAAAACTATTTCTAATGGTTTGAAATACAAATATTTTCCAATTTTTTTACAAATCATGAAAAATTTGAATTGTTTTCATACATGATTTTGTACTAGAATTTTATTCTCTTTGTTTGGAGATTTTAACATTTCATATCATGATAATATTTTTAAAATTTTTTTATTGTAAAATATATCTATCAACGATTGAATTCTATCGATAAAATTGATCATGTGGGTTATAATCGTTGTTTAACTTCTTCTCAATGTCAGTCGTATAGTTGTGTTTTATATAAATGTATATGTTGAGTTATACATTGTTACATTAATTGTAAACTATGAACTCAAATAGAAATGTGTGTTAATTGCTTTGTACGATTTCATTCGTCTTTTTATCTTTATATTTTTGAAAGTTATATTTATTTATTTTTTATAATAGTAGTTATTTTTTCAAAAAATTGGATATTTACATCTAAATATCATCACTTGTTATGTTTACTTATAAATAGAATAATTAAAAATTTAATATACTGTATTTCCTCTACGATTTCGTGGGGCTCGATACCTAATAACTATAAAATGAGTATTTTCTGAAAATGATCGGCAGTCAACAATGATGACTGGATGATTTGACATGGTGGCTCCCCTTTCTCATGGGAATATTAAGATTTTTTTGCTTTTGTTGGGTTTCGGGTTTTTGAGCCTCTTTTTTTTGCTCGGGTTCAAATAGTTGTGTATTGAATGTTTACTATTTTTTTTTGCTGCTAGGATTAAAAATGCTTTGGTCAATAAAAGTTGAGATTAAATTTAGTACGTTTAGGGCAGATTAAATTTAGTAAGTTGGCTATTATTAAAAAAATCTGTGGTGGCTTTAGGCGAATTAAAAAAATATAGCCCTTATAAAAAATATAATAAAAAATTATCTTCTTAAACGTATACAAAAATAATAATAATAATAACTGAAACTATAAAAATTCTAAAACATAACTTTTCTTCCTTTTTTTCCTAGAAAATCATTCACCAAACTCACATAATCGAGTTGTTTCACCAATTCCCTTTCTATAGAAATAATAGCCAACCCGTTCAACCTATCTTGCGACATAGTTGATCGGAGGTACGATTATCAATTTTAACTTTGAAAAGCTCCTTTCTGCAGAAGCAACTGAAACTGGAATTGTTAACAAAATCCGATAAGCAATCCAAGAGTTTGGGTAGCCTTGTTCTTTTGTTTCAAAAAGTTTAACACTTCTATAGGTCGCTTGCAGTCTCTTGGAAAAGTTTGTCTTAGAACTTTTAGTTCAAAAAATAAGTCATTTCCATCAACATCTGAATGATTTCCATGCTTCAGATAGGTTTCAAGATTGGTACAAGAAACCATCAAGCTATCCTCATTTGCCTCTTGCAGTTTTTTCGATCAAACAAAAAACCAAATATTTGTTCATACTTCTGAAATTGTTCAAACCTCGCCTGAAGAGAATATAAAGCTTGGTCCATGAGTTGAATGAAGTAAAAAAATCTAAAGTTTTCTTCCGGTGATAAATTCATTGTTTCATCAACTCTCTCTGAATCTTCATCAAAATATTTTTTTCTTCATATAACACGCTTTGCCTTTGTAGGGAATACAGCTTCAATGTCCATGGATTCAGCCAATAGAATAGCTTCAGCTTTTGCTCTCTCAAAACCTGTATCTCTGAACTTTTGGAAATAAGAAATAAGTCTATTTAACTGAGCAATAGCAGAATCAAACCGATAAAACCGGTCAAACACAAACTTTGTTTTGAAAGTTAGTTTTTATGCTCAAAAAGATTCGTAATTGATGTTGCTACTTATATATTGAAGAAAACTTATAGGCTTCCTCCTTAGATATCGATGTGGGACTTTGTTAATTATGATTGTTTCAAGTTTTTAGTTAATTTCCTATTTCAAAATTTTCCTTTTCATTTATAAATATCCATAAAAATAAATATCAATAATGATACTAGTATATATGCTTTTCTAATCCAGTAAATTGTGGCCTTTTTTTTTTAACTTTTTGGTGGCCTTAGGCAAATGCCTAACTCAGCACACATAAGTCACGGCTCTGGTTTAGGGTCAAAATTCAATAGTTATAGGAATTCTTTTCCCCTACACCAAATACAGAGAAACAAGTGGTAGAAAGAAAAAAATTCCGACAAAGTAAAACTAGAAAAAGGCACATATAAGGAAAGTCAAAGCAACAAAGGGCTGGTTGACATTCACAGCACGACTAGATGAGTCGGTTTTTGATCTTTGAGTTTGCTTTTCTAACAACCTCTTTTTTTTTTCATTTACTCAAAGTAAACATTCATTCACATAAGAGTATTACACTTAATCTGGTTAATCTTCCTTCACAAGATTTTGTAACCAAAGTGGGATACAACTACAAATTTAAGGATCATGGATCTCAAAATCTTAAAAGTGATCATCTATACAATCTACAGCTCTGTTGCAAGAAACGCAGATTGAATTGAAATGAGAAACAGTCAGAACTCATTGCCAATGTGGAATCTTTCCGGTCAGATCGATTGTAGAACGGGCCAAGTTTTTATAACAACCATGATGAATACTAAAGAAGACGATTTTATTGTATAACAGTCTTCAAAAGAACGATTCAAGCTCTATTCATCTTTAATTAAACAAAAAGTTATAGGGAATGACAGGTAGCACCTTTTAGCAGTAAAGGCTTCGGTTTTGTATTGTTTTATATATATAAAGATTTTATTGATATATTAAGCCTAACTCCTAAGTAATACAAAGCCGGCAAGGATCGAAACTCTTCCAAAGCGGAAAACTAAATTTCTCCAAGACTAATCCCTATAAGGAAGACAACCGAACGATAATACACAAAATACAAAAGTCAAACTCTAGCCAAAAATAGGAAGCTAAGACTTTTAGACGATCCATGCAAACTTGAAAGAGAAAGTTAGCAGAAATGAAAGAGGAAGTTAGCATAAATCACAAAAGCAAAAAACTAAAAAGGACCAGTTGAATATCTCATTTAACTCTTGTCTTGGAAGTTGGAATCTCTACACGAACACACACGACCGACAAAACCATGAGTTCAATCCAATCAACCAAAACTTCTGCAAAATCCCAAAACACAAAGACCTCAAAGGTTGAAGAAATATTAAACCACTTCAAAGTAACCACAACTCCAACCTTTGAACGGCTAACACGAATTAGAGGAAACTGGTAGGACCAACGAGAGAAACCAACCCTTAAAAACACCGATTCAAAAAATTACTCTGGTTTCTGTTTTGTGTTGGATTTCTATCCACAATCAGGCAATGCATTTGCTTTTTAGAAATCGAATAATACCTCTTTGTACAATAATCATTTTTCTACTATTACATACTTTCCTATTGAAAATTAACAAAATCAAACATTTACATGCAATGGACGGATAAAGCTACATGTTACGCGTTACATCTCCTTGAATAAATCACTCAACAAAAACATTCGATTTACATATTTAAAATAATCCAACAAAAATGGAGAAAAATATTTGGAAGAGATCGAAATAGAAGTGGTAACTGTTGATTAGTGACCACGACCTCTTCTGCTCGGTCCAGACGCTAACCGGAAACCATAGCTCTTCATCAATGGAGGTTGATTTCTTGAGTTTTTCTTCACCTTCATGGCCACCGCCGATTGATCTTGGCCGTTCATATCTGTCAAAGGCTTTGATCGTAGGGTTCTGCAATCAACTTTCCCAAACATCAAAGACGAGCCAACCAATGAGAAGATCATAAACATCACAAACACATTAATCTTCTTCTCCATAGGTATAACTTTATATTCGGCAATTACTAATATCTCTTTTTCTCTCTCTAGCTATTCTTGTTCTCTTTTCTTTGGAGATCAAGTATAATGGCTTCTTGATTTTTTTTATATACATGAGTTTGTGTGCGCGTTTGTAAGCAAAGAGCATTAAATCTTGACCAAGAATGTTGGATTATCTCATTTTGTTATCGCGTTTTACATATATTTTAATTGAAGTCTTCAGGTTCAATATTATACTATTTATATAAGGTAGACAAAACCGCTGATGTGTATTCATATTACAAGTGAATATCTGAATCAATTTTTCCAAACTACCTGCTTTTCCACAAGAGATGTTGTTGAATTCTATGACTTTCATAAAAAGATTGAAAACGGCATTTGTTTATAAGAAATAAAAGTAGGAATTGGATTAATAGTTAGCAAACGTTGTAAAAAGTGGAATTTTTATTGGTTAGTTAGACCAGTAGGTTTTCTTATTGAAGAAACAACAACCTTTCTTGAGTGTGAGCTGTTAAATTTTGACTTTTGTTTTTTTCGTATTCGGTATGAGTTAACACGGTGTGAAGTCATGCATGAGAGACCAAATATGTTGTGTGAGAGGACAAATAGGTAAAATCCAAGCGGTGGGATTTAGTTGCTGACGAGTGATGATGCGAGAGCAACAAAAACAAAAATAATTGTTGCCTTAAGGCACATAAAGCATGTGCTTCAAGCCACAAAATTTATTATGTAATTTAGGGGGCACACTTAGAAATACGATCATGTAAATGTATTGCAATAATTCTATTTCCATTGTCATTACATCCCACACTTCGATTAATGTCATCATGGTTTGTGCTTTATTTTGAGTTTTTTTTGTTTCTTTTCATTTATCAATTTTAAATTTTAAATTGTAAAATTAATTTTGATACAAAAATATGATCATGATAGTGTAATTTTACTAGTAACTAAATAATGTTAGACGATATTATTTTTTACTTCAAATATCATTAGGGCCACACTAATTTTTTTAAACTTTAACCCACATAAATATACGGGCCGGGCCGGCACTGTATTTTGTTAAGAATTATTATAAGAAATGATCAATCCGCCAACACAGTTTGTAAAAATAACTAAGCATAGAAAACGATACTGTACAATTTTTTTTATACCTTTTTACCCCTAGAAATCTATACGAGGAGATTTCGTGTCAGATCAAATAGAAATAAAATATGGGTTTTAAATTATGTCATTAATGGACCACTGTTCAATGTTAACATTTCTTCAGACATATTTTTCATAGAATGAATTTATTGTATATCAATGGTTAATCAAAAAATTAAGTTTATAGCATTGATAAATTAATAATTAGGTAACTATCAAAAAGAATATATTATTTTATCCAATTCTATCCTTCTTACTTTGTTTATTTACAAAATTATCATTGATTTAATTTTTTTTTCTGACAGATTACACTGGAAATACTGTTCACCCACCGACTAGTAACACTGTCAATCAAACGTCCGATGACACTATTCATTACCAAAAATCATCTTGTTAACATGCTAAAAAGAATTAACATGATAACAATTATTCTGTTAACGTCTAATATAAAATGTTAACGTGCTAATATTAATAATGTTGTATAATTAATTAACATGATACCAATTATAATAACATATTATATAAATATTAACGTATTAACACTAATATCTGGTATTTATAACGTGTTAACAATAATATCCGATACTTTTTGTGTGTTAACATATACAAATCTGAATGAGAAAAAATAAATAAATAATCGATAACTCATTTGCTAATTGCTAACAACGTTATCGATAACATATCGTTACCATCGTGACGTCAGTGGTGACGTCACCACCGTCATTAACACCATCGTCGTTGCACTATAACCAACCTCCATCTCCATTTCTATCTTCACCTTCATCCATCTTCTTTCTTCTCTTCTTTCTTCTTTTTTTTGTTTTATTTTTCTCTTCTTCTTTGCATTTTTCTTTCATGGAAAATGGTTGAAGAGGGATAAAAATAAAGATGTAATTTGATTGGAAAAAGAAGGGCTAAATTAATTTTTGACAATGAATAGTACGCTATGAATAGTGCTGAGGAGAGAGAACTAATTTTCAATTTATTGGTTACTAGTTTTTGCAATACGGTGTGTTTCTTTCAAGCAACGGTTTACAAAGACACCATTTCATATATATTTATCTGAACTGGCGACTGTTCATCTACCATTTTACTGAAATTTAATTTTTCTACTTCAGCGAGGATGGAACCATCGTTGCCGGAAAAATAGTTTGCCAGCGGCAAAGAACCTGTCGGCGAGATAATTAATTGCTACCACAAAACCAAGGCGATTAACAACATTCTTAGCGCTCTGGACGAGGATGAGAGAGATTTTTTGAGGAAATCTGCTTTTGGGAAACTCATTGCGACGGTGGAGAAGCCCGCACTTTCTGGGAGTTTCAGCCACTACATCATCATGACTATCATCTTTCTTTCTCTTTCTCCTTTCTCTCTCCTTTATCTCTCTATTTTCTTATATCTCTATTGTAATCTTCTTCACATTCATCTTTGAAATTATCTCCTCAAAAACAATATTTTCCAACAATATCAAATCACCATCACCAGATCTGTTTATTGAAAAGCCTAGATCTGAAATATATTGTATATGATCAAATTAATTTCCTTTTCTGTCTTTCTTTGTGAGGAAAACCAACTTTGTATTTAAATTGCTAGAACAATCGATAATCTTATCAGATTGATGCTAACATATATAATAGTGTGTATCTAGCTGAATTACTCTTATAAATTTATCGTCAGACTGCTAACATATATATCCAATAGAATGTTATATGTAGTTGTAGCGCACTAACTACAAAAATAACACCTCTAACAATCTATATAATTCATTATTGTTATCAATCTAATATATTTATTACCAAATTAATTATAATATTAGACGTTAATTTATATGTAACGTGCTAAGTATATCAATAACATCTTTAATCATCTATATAACTCATTATTTTTTATCAATCTAACATATTTTTTACCTAGTAATTTATAATATTAGATGTTAATTTATATGTAACATGCTAAGTATATCAATAATATCTTTAATCATCTATATAACTCATTATTGTTATTAATCTAATATTATCTTTACCGTGTAAAACATAATGTTATATGTAAATATATATGTTTATATATGATCTGATAATTGTTAATCTATAACAAAATATGTAACTCGTTATTATAATATATATATAAGTTAGATTTGGAATATATTGTGTGGCTGAGATTTATTGAAGGTAGATTTGGAAGATATTTCTTATACTCTACAAAATTTCTGTGGTCATGATTAACGGAGAAGATATTTCGCCTATCATATGAAATCCTCCCAGCCACCCTATAAGATTATCACATATCTTGTCAGAGTTCATGGACTGCCGTGGCAAACCTTTCTGGAGTATAAGAGTATTTGCTGATGACTACAACCATTAGTTTGCAGTGGAGTCTTGGTCATTTTCGTAAATTCGTCTCTGTTTTAAATTATTGAACTAATTCACTTTTTTGTTATCGAGTTTATAATTTAATAAACTAGGGTTGACCGCACTTCGCGCAGGCGGATTGTAATTTATGTTCATGTTCTTATATGTTCTTATATGTTATTTCTTAAGAAATAATTTATTTGATAATTATTATTCTTAGTTTAATAGTTTTATTTTTAAGTTTGCATTGTGTTAACAATACCTATGTTCTGTTAGTTATCATTACTGGTGTGTATATATAACAATAAATTGTTCTTAATTATGTTATTAACTTCTGTAAATTTTTTATTTCATGTGCTTTTATATTTTATCTGTGACTATTGTGTGGTTCTAAATATAATTATTTAAATTATTTTTATTTTTCTTAATTTATACTCTTTGCAACTCTTTTATTTTTAATCAGCTATTATTAGGAATTGTTGAACAACTAATTCATCATATTTGTCTTTTTTTTTTTTAAAGATTTTTATACTCCTTCTCTATCTTCATATTCTCATAATTTGTTAGTTTTATTTTTTGTTCTCTTTCCTTATATTTAACATCTTTGTCTTCATATTTTCTAAAATTCTGCTCTTCATTAGCTTCGTGTTTTCATTTTTCTCTGGTCTTTGACTTCTACTTTTATTTTTTTTTTCTTTCAGTTTTTCTTTATCTTTTTTTTTCTGGCATTGTTTCACATTCATGTGCATCTTTTTTATATATTTTGATCTTTCTTCTTCCTCATATTTTTTTCTTCTTTCATATTCTTTTATCTTTTTTTTTTTAATTATTGTCATTTTCTCTAACTTTTTTTTTCAGTTTAAATAATATATCATTTTTAATAATATATAGGATTATATTTTTAATCCAGTTAGTATTACTGTTTTCTTTAAGTATTAATATCTAATTGCCATTTATATTTTTATTTACACTTAAAATTATTTTATTTTATTTTATTTGTACTAAATATACTAATAAGAATTATAAATATACAAGTATTAAATGATTATTTTAAATATGTTTTAATGTTAAAATTAAAGAGTTTGCTGATGTGGACACCCTAGATAAAGAGAAAACTCTCCTGTTATATAATAGATATCTCTAGTTTCAAAAAATAACACAATCTTTATTTCACTAATACCATAAACCAATAATTACTATGTATAAAATTAATATAAACCTAACTTAAATTATTTACCAAAATATAGTTGTTAACCCTTGTTAAAAAAAAAATAGTGTTGTTTATTATTTATTTTTTCTAAATAAAGCTCATCTCTAATTTTTTTTTTATATTACAAAACAAATCGAGATGTTATGTTTTGTTAATATTGGTAAAACGTTGTATCTAAATTCGATATAAGTTGCATCTAAACGTTGTATCTACATTCTATAACATGCATGCTCGATAAATGAAAAAAAAAAAACCTTATAAACAAACTCAGTATCTTAGTAAACACAAAGAAAGAGACGAAAGGTAAATACTTTTAGATAAAACCGCCGCTGAGCCGTGTTTAAGAACATGGATTTCAACTAAACTAGATTTTACAAAAAAAATCCGGACGGGACAACATATGCTTATACCAAATACATAAACTATATGCTAATAGA